GCTTTTAGTGGAATTCATTTATACCCATAAATTCAAGTACCTCCTAGGGACTGATATCGCCTGAGTTCTAAAACCATATATTCAACAGCCTGCTGGACATAGGCCTCAAGGTTTATCCAGATTCACAAACTGAACTTGACCAGATAAAACCCATGATCTTTTATATCCAAAATGTGTCCTTCTCCATATCCTTACAAATAAAACTACCAACCATTCAGACCCAGCATTTTAATGGGGCACAATAGAGGAGAAAAGATACTGGCCAGGACCCCAAAAGTGCAAAGTGAGATCAGAAACCCACCATGTAAAACACAGAGCCCAAAAATGTGTGATGTTCAATAGCTAAAAGAGGTTAAAAGTAAAATGATAGAAAGGCTAGACTTTTCTATACTTACCAAAAGAAGCTGGAGTGGCTATATTAATATTAGACAAACTAGATTTCAGAGCAAAGAATATTACAAGGGATAAAGAACATCACTTCATAACAATAAAGAGGAGGACTTGACACTCCTAAAGGTTTATGAACCTACTGACAGAACGTCAAACTATACAAAGTAAAAAACTGTTAGAACTGCAAAGAGAAATAAATCTACAATTATAGTTGGAGACTTCAATATCCCTCTTTTAATAACTGATAGACAAAATAGGGAGAAAATGAGTTAAGGACAAAGAAGATTTAAATAACACTATCAAGAGAATAGCAAATGAGACCTAAAGTAAGCAAAATAAAAAACCAGAATAGAAATCAACAAGAGAAAACAAAAACAACAACAGCAACAAAAATCAATGATGTATTGTATGGTGACTAAGATAACATAATAAAATTAAATTTAATTTAAAAAAATCAATAACTTCAAAAGCTAGTTCTTTGAGAAAATCAATAAAATTGATAAACTTCTATCCAGACTGATAAGGAAAAAGAAAGTGAGGACAGAAATTATAAATATCAATAATGAAAGAAGTCACATCAACACAATTCTACAGAAAGTAAAATAATAATAAAGATATAGTAGCAACAATTTTATGCCCATAAATTCAACAACATAGATAAAATAGTATCCTTGAAAGAACAAGCTACCAAAGCTCACTCAAGAAAAAATAGATAACCTGAATGGCTCTATATCTATTTTTAAAATTGAATGTGTAGTTAAAACTTTTCCATAAAGAAAACTCCAGGCCCTGATGGCTTCATTGGTGAATTCTACCAAATTTTTGAGAGACTTATCAGTTCCATACAAGCTCTTCCAGAAAACTGAAAAAGGAAAAAATGCTTCCCAACTCCTTCAATTAGGCAAGCATTAAGACAAATCAGATACAAGAAAAACAAAATAAAACCTACAGATATATCCCTCACAAATATATATTAAAAAGTCCCCCACAAAATATTAGTAAAATACATCTAATAATATATATAAAGTATAATACATCATAACAAAATGAGGTTTATTCCAATAATACCAGAATAATTTAACCAAATATCAATAAATGTAATTCACCATATTAACAAATGAAAAGAGAAAAACCATATGATCGTTTCAAAAGATTCAGAAAATAATTTTTTGACAAAATCCAACATCCATTTTTTAATCATCGTCATCATCATCATTTGTCAGCAGGCTATGAATAGAAGAATAGAATGAATAGGAATTTCCTTGACCTGATAAAGAGCACCTAGGAAAAAATTCCACAGTTAACACCATACATAATGGCAGAAGACTGAACAACTTTCCCCCAAGAGCAGGAAAAGCAAGGATGCCTGCTCTCATCACTGTTCTATAGCATTGTACTGGAAGTTCTAATCAATGTAATAAGGCAAAGAAAATAAAATGAAAGTCATCCACATTGGAAAAGAAGACAAATTGGCATTACTTGTCCAGTGCCCTTTCCACTGTACATCTAATTTTATATTTTCTTTCTTCATTTTTTTGGTTAAGTTTATTTCTAGATATTTTATTATTTTTGGTGTGATTGTAAATGAGATTGTTTGCTTAATATCTCTTTTTGCTAGTTCATTACTAGTGTAGAGAAATGCAACAGATTTCTGTATATTAATTTTGTACCCTACAACTTTACTGAATTCATTTATTAGTTCTAGTAGTTTTTTGGTGGAGTCTTTAGGGTTTTCTATATATATGGAGTAACATGTCACCTGCAAATAGTAAAAATTTTATCTCTTCCCTACCAGTGTGGATGCTTTTCATATATTTTTCTTGTCTGATTGCTATGGCTAGGATGTCCAGGACTATACTGAATAAACATAGACCCTAAGTTCTTTCTTCATATATTATAAACAGTAAAAAAATAAATAAATAAAGTTCTACAATTAAATTAAAATTAGAACAAGAACATTCATCAGTGATTATGTATTTCCTATGAAGAAGCACAATTTTTTTCGTTCAGATGACCCCAAGGAACTTCTGTTAAATACACTGAATATCACTGTGTGCCAAGAATGCTCATGGCAATCACTTTAAAATCTGCTGTTTTTAAAAATGTCTTACTTAATTTTCTTCTTAGAATTAGCATTTAAATATCTGCCCCTGTCAAATACAATGCATTATCACAGGATGGAAGTAAAATGAAGGCAAAAGAATAAAGACTAAAGACAAAGACTGCCTTAAAATAGTTGTGGCATACTTAAATGTCATACTGTCTCTTAAAGTGTCCTCTTATTACAAGCCAATGAATTTATTCACTTCCAGTGTGAAAGTTCTCTCTTCAAAATTGTCCATAGTAGAGTATAATTTCTTTCTCATTTTATTAGACAGACTAATAGAGTTCTTTCCTCCTTCATTATTTATACACTTGCTGGTTGGTTATTTAGTTCAGGCTTCCTCTTTATAATAATGCTTTGAAATGTGTTATATTCAAATATATTTATAATCTTTTAGAGATTACTCTGAGACTTAAATGTTCAAATCTTCTGATCTAATAATCCCTCAAGAAATCTATTCAAAAAAATAATCACAGATGCAGAGATGTACATTTGTATATAAACATGTCCATTATGGGATTATTCATACTCACAAACAATGTAAACAATTTAAAGGGCAACAACTGAAGAACTGGTATTTAAGAAATGATTCATAAATAAACGGAATATATTCTAAAATAATTGAGAAAGCTCAAAATATAATTTTAACAGAAAAAGTAAAGTAAAAAATATATTTATAATATAATCCCTTCTCTACTACATATATTTCATAGATACACACATACCATTTATAAAAATGGAAATACCCAAAATGATGAATGGTTACCTCTGAATAATGATTATGAATCATGTTTTTCCTCACATCTTACTGTATTTTTAAATTTTTCTTTAAGAATATTTTTATAATCAGAAAAAATAAACATTACTATGAGAGCAGGAAAGACAGAGAATCAGAATGATGAAAGATCCACCAGGTTGAAGTTTTGGCAATGGAGAGACCAGTTTGAGTAAGTAAATGAAGCATAAAGCAAGAATCATTTTTAAAAACAACATGGTAACATTGGCTAGTAACATAGATCATTTTCTGTGCTGTCATCCTTTTCAAGCATTACTAATTCCAACAATAATTCAAACAGAAAAGGTATCTAAAACCGATACAGTATATAGACTTACTTAAACTTACAACAACCCAATGTTATCTTGAGTTTTACACTGTGGGCACTTTAAAAAGAAACATTTTTTTTTAATGGAATATACTTAGAGGACAGCAACTAAGATCAATATTTTTTAAACTTGAATGTCTTAGGAAGAACACATAAGGACACTGGGAATGCTGACCCTAAGAAAGAAAAATTTAAGCAAACAAGGTTTTGTGTCATCTAGTGAGGAGAAGAGCTAATGGTTAGAGCTAACTAAGGATGAAATGGCATCTTCCTATCTTCCCTACCCAGTTGGGGACCACTATCCATTCATTAAATACATGTAAGGTCACTGGGCAAAAGAACCTACTTGACAACCAATTTGGAATCCACTGTTGTTTGTAAAGATATTCTTAATCTTGTTTTAGAGAGAAACTTAAGCATCAGGTGGGTATTTAGACTAAGTGTTCTCTAATGACCCCTCCAAATTGGCATGACATGGCTTTAGGTGTTCTAAGACCAATTCTAATGTGAGGGCAGGGGCTTCCCTCACACACAACACCAAGCAATTGTTGAACACCAGTAGGGTGTCCAAAACTTCAACTCCATTCTGATACTACCTATGCTGGAGAAACCACCAGATTGCACAGATTAAGGATTCAGTCCCACAACACTGCCCCTACAACTCTCACTTTAGATGCCAGCTGTAAGCCCAAGGCTGTTTCCTTGTGCTTCCCATTGACCAGCTACATATTGGAAGTTCCAATAATCTCCTCCTTAGGTTCAATTATTGGCTAGAAGGGCTCACAGAACCCAGGGAAACACTTATTTACATTTACCAGCTTATTAAAGGATATTATAAAAAATACATATCAATAGCCAAAAGAAGAGATACTTAGGGCAAGATCTCAAACAAAGGAGTTTCTGTCCTCATGGAGCTTGGGACCTGGCTTGGTGACACATAGAAGCATTCTGGTTCCCCAAGCATGGAAGCTCTCCAGAAAAAAAAAAAGGCCAAAAGCTAGTCTCTAAAATTTTTATGAAGGCTTCATAACATGGTCATGATTTCCTAAGTCTTTGGTCATTGGCTGATTCAGCCTCTAGTCCTTCTCCCCTCTCTGGTGGTCAGGCAGTCAGACTGAAGTTCCATCCGTCTTCTCTCATGGTTGGTCCTCTTGGCAATTAGCCCCTGCCCATGGGTGGGGTCCAAAAGTTTTTGCCTTTATAAGCCTGCACTCCACTCACAGTTCAGATTACACTTTTAATTTCAGTTGACTCTGTCTCTCAGATTGCAATCCCTAGGACCCCAATTAAATGCTTTTGGTTGCTGTAAACAGCTTCTTAGCCAACACCAAATACGTATTTTTTATAAATCATTATATTGCAATATGATGTTATATTTCTGAGATATGATCCACATTACTCACATTTAGTTTTATAGCAAACTGTTAGGACACAGCTGATGTTCCATCATTTACTAGTCAGTTAACGATCATCCTCAGCCACTTCACTATTCATTAGCACTCCACTATAAATGGTGGAGGCGGAGAGTTCATTCAAATGAGTTGACTCCTGTGCATATTAAAAGTTAAAATGAAAGACTTCATGTAAGAGTTTAGTATCACTGGACAAAGTGGTAAATGAGTATTATGAGTGTGCTTCCTTAACGACTTTATCCCTATTTATCTCCCTTTGCATGAGGTGTTTTCCATTTGTTAACTAAGCATACCGTCAAGGATATAGAATATAACTGTCATCTTAGCTTCCCTGAAACGCCAAATCAGCAATAATAATAACATGATAATGCTGTGTTCATCTACCTAACTCAGAGTTCTGATTTTATCACAACTGAATATGTATTTTCAAATGACTGATCTTTTGTCCTACTGTGTCATGACTTTTTTTAAAGATTTTATTTATTTATTTATTTATTTATTTATTTATTTATTTGAGAGAGAGAGGGCACTTGAGTGTGAGCAGGGGGAGGGGCAGAGAGGGAGAGAACCCCAAACAAGAGAGGAGGGGAGAGGCAGAGAGGGAGAGAATCCCAAGTAGACTCCACATTGAGCACAAGCTGGACTCGGGGCTCCATCCCACCACCTCGAGATCATGACCTGAGCTGAAACCAAGAGTTGAATGCTTAGCCAACTGAGCCACCCAGGCACCCCCCTATCATGACTTCTAAGGTAAACATCATTCACTAAGAGAGTGGGCCATAAATATCGCTAGGCTGCATTACTGTAGATTTCTGGGTAAGTTTCTCTTCCAGAAAGTTTATTTACAGAAAACAGACTACATTGACCAGGTGAGGATTTGCTTCTATTAACTACTGTGGTTAAAAAATAATAATAATATAAAATATACCATCTTAACCTTTTTAAGTTTACAGTTTAGTAATGTTAAATATACTCACACTGTTGCAAAACTAATCTCCAGAACTTTCTCATCTTGCAGAACTGAAACTCTATACCCATTAAATAATACCCCTTTTCCCTTTCTGCCCTGTCCCTGGTAACCACCATTCTACTTTGGTTTTAAGAATTTACTTTTTGTATATATTTTTCCAACGTGTACTTCTTACATGTTTGTGAAAACAGGGAAAAAATGCACACTAATGTTTCATCTCACATCTTAAAAAAAAAAAAACACAGTCATTATTCAAATATTAGGTTTCTCTGTCATAGTATATATTGTTTTAATGCTACTGTAACTTTAAAAGCAATTTGAAAAGTAATGGGCATTTTTTTTCTTATCATACCTAAAAAGTGACTGTTACAAAAAAAAAAACCTCAAACGGCATTTAAGCAGTTTTTCTCCTTAGTTCTGTTCAAATATAGCAAGAGTATAATTAGCTGGACAAGCTGCCTAACTCTGTAATATACATCACCTCCACAACTTACAAACCCGCAGCAGTAACAAGCTTTGCAGTAAATTAAAATCTCCACCTCCTTAAAAAAAAAATTACATTCAAAAAGATGAAGTAAACACCAATTTTCTCTTTCCTAAGAGTGAAGTATATTTAAGGGTGAGGTTAAAAATTTTTTTTCAATTTTTTTTTAATTTAGCAAGTTAAGATGCTGCAATAATGAGGAGACATTCATTTTTTCTTACCACTAAGTAATCGCTTCCACATTATTGGACAGTTTATGGGTCTGACTACTTCACTGCCACTTAATGATCCTAGAAAAAAAGCCCACATTTTTCTTGGGTTCTTTTCGCTCAAAAAAAAAAAAAAAAAATCCAAAAAGTCACTTTGTCAATGCAGCAATTCAAGTATTTCACTTTGGATTATTCCTCCTTTTTTGTGAACATTTAAAAGATAAATTGCTTTCTTTCATTCTAACCTAAATTCAAAGTTTCTAAGATAGATCTCTTGATTCTACCCATGTTCTTGAAATGATTAAATACAAAATCTCTAAAGTAAGTATCTGAATGCTGCTTCTCCAAAAACAAATGCTTCAAGATATGACCCAGAATACATATTTCTCGACTGAATAAGGAAGTAATGCCTAAAATTTTCAACATCTACAGAGAGGAAGCTAGTAATAACCTAGCAAGTCATGCATAAAAGCTCAACAGAACCTTAAATCTCTGATGATAAAAAAGCAATAAGAAAATGGATCCCTAAAACTATTCAAATCTACTACAGAATGTGAGATAACACTATCATCTCTTCATTTCTGATCTTACGATGTTCTTTTCAGGAGTTCTATTTGTCAGCACAGGTCACAGACTCACTATGTGTTTTACAGGTCTTTTAACCAAATTAATGATTCTAAAAGCATATTTTCCAGTTCATTGCAGATACATCTCTAAATTATACTTGGCTCACAAGTTGTAAAAAGCAGTATATTATATAGCTATAAGTTCCTCCCACTCAACCTATTTTAAGTTCTGATATCAGCCAAGGTAATGCTAATAATGCTCATCACAAAAAACTATCACAGTTCAATACCTATTTAAAAATATTCATTAATTCAAGGGTTAAGAGTCCTAAGTGAAAGGCACTGGGCTAGGTGTTGTAGGTGACAGGAAGCTGGAAAACCATTGTTACCTTCAGTCAGTTTTCAGTCTACCCAGGAAGACAGGTATAAAGAAACAATGACATTTGGAGTGACGAAATCTATTATTCTAATTAGGACACTTTTAAGAGTGGGAGAGGTGCTTCTAGAAACTAACCCAGGATAACAGACATAAACAAGTCTGTCCCAGGAAAACTGGGACATAGAGTCACCCTAACTATGGTATTCAATGTTTTGCAGTTTAAATGTTTTCAAAAATATTATTTAATTTTTTGCCTAGAAACAAAGCTATGAGATAAATAACATAATACTATCCCCACTTTTAGATGGGAAAATGAAGGCTCAGGGAAAGTAAATGATTTACCTAAGTTTACACAGCTAATAAATGATGGGTCCAAGGCCTGCGCTGAAATTTTCTAATTCTGCATCTAATATCTTTCCTTTATAACACACTGCTTCATCAATAGCTGTAACTACTAGATTCGTAGATATATTCTATAATGACAACCTGGGGGAAGCACTGTTCTTGTGATTATAATACCCATATTGAAATATAGGGAGATAACATGTACCAGTTTGACAGTATTTTCGCTTTCATGGTAAAAATTACATGGATAAATGAGGACAGATTAATCAAAGGAAATTATATGACACAGAGTTGACCTACAAAAAAAAAATAAAAGCTAAAACAGTTTCAAGTAAAATCAGAGTCTAAAAAAGGATATCCTCATCATTGTTATTATTCAAAATTGTCTTGTAAGTTATAATAGATAAATATTGGATAAGAAGAGATAAAACCATCTCCTTTTGCCAATAAGACTGTATAATAATAGTGACTATGACCAGAATTTTAAAAATCGGTAAGATGGTTAGATTCAAGATAAATATTTTAAAACTCAGTGATATTTGTGTCTTCCAGCAATAAGCTCCCCCTCCTATCAATCCGAAGCTCCTCTGGACCACTTCTGTTCCATATAGACTTCTGCCCAGTCATATGATTTTTACAGTTCTGAACAGAATACAGAACACCCTATTCTGAGGTGTCTGGTTTGGATGATTTCTCCAAATTCCAGAGCTACCAACAGAATAATGATTTATCCTGTATCAATGACCAAGAGGACTTAACTTATTCGCTTTCGGAAAAAAGACTGCCTCTAAGACAAAATTCTACTTAGTCTTAGAGCCCCTGGCAGCAAATTCCTGGACATTTTGAAATTGCAAATTTCTTTCCAGTCTTCAAGAATGCATAACTACTGACATCCAGTCTCAGAACACTCAATGCATACAAAGAAAAAATATCCATGATTAAAGGACACACGTGTGGGGTTTTTGCAGAAATTGTCCAGCTCAGTATTAGCTCCTTAACAGCCTGATATAACCTGTTTCATATGCCTCTTTCAGCCACTACAATCTATTTCTAAAATGACAGAAGTTTCTACAAAATTCAAAAGTTAAATGATTTATCAGTGAGATTTCTATGTCACCCTTTTAAAGAACAACAGTAACATTAAAAGAATTTTCATGTCATTGCTGTGTTGAGATTTATTCTTTGAGACCTTGCATCTTTGTGTCTGTAACAGGTATTTGTGACTCTCCTTGTGGGCTTGATGAAGTAAGCAGCCATATGAAGAAGCCCACATGGCAAAGAACTGCAATAGCCTCTAGGAACTGCATGTGGCTTCTAGGATCTGAGTTAACTTCAGCTAATAGCCAGGAAAAAGTTGGGCCCCTCAGTTATACAATCACAAGGAAACGGATTCTGGCAACAACCTGAATGAGCATGGAAGTGGATTCTTCCCCAGTCAACTCTCCAGTTGAGAAAGCAGCCTGGCCAATACAGTGAATAAAGCCTTGTGAGACCCTGAAGTATAAAACATATTCAAGCCATGCTGAGAATCCTGGCCCATAGAAATTGTGAGATAATAAATGTGTGTGTTGTTTTAAGCCACTTAATTTGTGATAATTTGTTACACAGCAACAGGAAACTAATATATCTTCCAATGTCTTTCTGTCTTGGAGTAAAATCCTAAGTCATTTTCACAGTTTGGCCACTTGCTACGACACTATCATCTTCCATTTCACCATCGCAAACTTTGCTCTAACTACAATGGCCTCTTTGCTTTTCATATAGGACAGACTTGCCACATTTTCCATTTGACAGACTGGCTCAGAGTCTTCAATATTCTGTCTGGAATGCTGTTCCCAGATACCTGCTTAGCTCACAACTCACCTTCTAGGTACCTATTCAAAGATTACTTTGTTGGAGACACCTTCTCCTGAAAAAAAAAACAGGAATTCCTAACCCCACTCAACAGGCACTGCTAGCATCCGACTGCTTTATTCTCTCCACAACACTCTCATATCACCACTTGATAGGCATTTTTATTCATTTGTCTGCTTATTGTATCTCTCCCTGTACCAGAAGGTAAAGTCCAAGGTGGCAGAGATTATTTTGTTGTTATCTGTTGTTAACCTACATATGTGGAACCTGTGTTGAGTAAATAAATAAATTGATAGATAAGTTAATGAATGAATTAAAGCAAATGCATT